TGTAAGACGGGGGTCGGGGCCCCCTGGGGGGGGGGGGGGGGGCATTCTGACCACCATGGTAAGGGTTTGGAGGGGGGATTTTGCTAAGTAAGCAGACTGGTGACTATAGCACTGGCATACACAACTAAAACACTGCAAGTGCAAGTTTACCTTGTGAGGCAAGATGAAACAAATATAGGCCCGACGTGGGCCAAAACATTTTATTAACATGTATGTACATGTGTGCGAGATATCATACCCTGCTGTATATAAGAGACATATTTAGGTCCCACTGACAATTTTCTATGATTCGGATTAGAATTTGAAATATATATTTTTGTACTGTGTATCACTTCACCCATATGTAGCTGTATGCTCAATATGCCCAAATTCTAATCTTCATTTTTTCTATATATTTTCCGTTAGTGGGAAAAGGGGATAAAAAGGGTAATTAAATGTAACTGACAATATCAGCAACAGAAACAACAAATACTTTAATGAAAACCAATCTTAGAAAAGGTGAAAAGGCAGCTGCTGGTCTAGGCTGTTAGTGCAGATGTTGGGTAAGGCTACTTGACTGCATAAGACTGTGCCAGAAATCAATAATATAAGAAATTGAAATAACATGACAGTGGTGACCTGGGCCCCTTAATCATTAAAGGAGAACTATGAGGTGAGTGCTTTTCACTCATCCTCATAGTTCTAGCCGACCTGTGACAATGAAACTGTCACAGGTCGGCTCAGTAGATCGGGAAGTGAGCGAACACATAACAGCGTTCGCTCACTTCTCAATCCTGTCACGGCAGGGGAGGGACTGGATTCCCTTCCCCCAGTGCTGACTGGCGGAACGGACGGGGGAGGGTACAGCTGGCTCTGCTTCTAGATAGGCAGAGCCAGCTGTCACTCACGCATCTGGGCGGATCCAGACATAATTGTCAGGATCCATTTCAGCTGCGGCGTCTCAGTATACTGAGCTTAGGGTGACGGGAGGATGCTAGTTTGTGTCCTCCCGTTACCCTAAGGAGAACTATGAGGAAAAGCCCTAACCCCATAGTTCACATTTAAGAAAACTGTTGTTATTTCCTTCATTTGCCATCAGAGATCCATAATTAATAAAGATCAACATTTCCTACTACTGGAGTTGTCCACCTCTGCTGTACACGGTCAGATTATGCATGACCATCAGATTGTGTATGGCCAGTCTGATGGCTCGACACGTAAATGAGATGTGGTATGCACTAAACGTAAAAAGCCCAGGTTTAGATTTTTGATGTTGGTTGGTAAAAGAAGGAAGGATCTAGTCACTTCCTATATGTACACAGCACCAATAGATTATGGAACATTATGCAGCGCAGTAGAAGACGATCAGTGTGTGCATGTCTCACATATACCTCCCACCATTATAGATCCAATAAAAATAATCCAGATCTGGGAAATCACCAATCCGGAATGAGGAGAGACTGGCAGAGCTGCTTCCACAGAGGATCACAAATGGGCTGTGTGACTATGAACGATTGTGTAACCGATAGCAAACATTTCCTGGAGCCTTTAATTAACCCCTTCATGACTGACGACGTACAGTGTACGTCGCCAGCATTCTAAATTGATGACCTGTGGGGGCTTTTAAAGTGTCTTTTATTGATTTTTTGGGGTACTGCAGTTTTTCGCCGTTTCACGGTCGCACGCAATCTGTAAAATGGGCATGTTGGGTATCGTTTTACTCGTTGTAACCTCATCTTTTATATTTCATTTAAAAAATGGGTAATTTGTTGTGTTTTGGGGCATTTAATTAAATTTGTCACTAAATTTTGGGGTTTAATAAGGAGTTGCGCTAATATTGCGCAACATAAAAATTTTCAACTACCACCATTTTATTCTATAGGGTCTTGGCATTCAGAAAATATATAATGTTGGGGGGTTTTACGTCATTTTCAGGCCTAAAATGTGGAATATAACATGGGTGCAAAAATGGAAAAAAGGGCCTCAGTCATGAAGGGGTTAATGAATAATACAGATGAACCACCAGGGCCGGCCCTACCATCATGAATAACATGTTTTATAGCAACAAAGAAAGTTCAATGCCAAACTCCTGCCTGCATTCCATAATCCTCACCCATCAGGCAGGACTACTGTAGACCGCCCATGAAGTTCACATGTAACTGACCCCATTTAATGCCCTACTAATATACACTGTACAATCTCCTCCAACTATGTCATATATGGGCCTGACTGATTTGATGCAGTTTGAATGGGTGGGTTTAGATTTGTCCTCATATTACATACCGTATCTATCATATTGTACAGATTGTATGGTCAGCTTTAGTTGTACAAGGACAACATGCATGGAGGGAGGGGGGGGGGTCCTATTTTTCGGCACCCTAAA